AGCCATCTGGGGAGCTGCTGGATGTTCCTTGGCACCCCTATTTCTTTCTGTCTCTGACTGACCTGCAGGCATAAGATTTAAGATGATACTAACTAGAATAGTGTACACCATTTGAAGTATCATGGCTGCTTCTGAAAATACTGTTGATAGTTGTTGTATGAGTGTATTAATGATTTAGTTTGAAATAATATATTATTATTTAAACTCAATTATTGATAAACTCAAAATACCAACAGCATTTTCAGAAACAATCAAGATAATTCAAGTTGTTAACACTTATTCCACAGTTAGTCTATTTTTTTTTTATGTAACTTGATTGAAATAAGGTTCTTTTCTTCGATATTATTACAAGTTACCTATTTTGTTATGTGACAACTTATTTACAATAAACATTATTCATCGTTCAATAAACTGTATTAATATTATATCATGATTTATAATACTTAGAAAGTTATAAAAGTATACTGAATAGGTAGTAATATTAAATATATAAAGTAGGTAAGCATATTATAATAATATGCAGCATATATATACTTTGTGATTCTTTTATCAAACAACACTCATTATTTCAACAAGTGTAAATTTTTTTGAAGATATTTTTTTACATAGTTTCAAGTCGCTTATAAAACAAAGTTTTTATTAAAAAACTATATTTTTAATTATTTTTTATCCTTATAATTTTTTAAGTTTTTTACTTTTTTGAATGACAACATAGGGTTTTAATTTTATATTCTAAAGTAGAATATTTTTCTTAGTATTTTGATACATGCAAATTGAATTTGGGGCGAGTAGTTTATGAGTTATAAGTATTTAAAGTATAGAGCGGTGAAGTGGACAAACATTTCGGGGGGTAACCCCGAAACACTCCACTCCGCTCGTCTAAACTTTAAATACTTATAACTCATAAACTACTCAACCCAAATTCGATTTTCATGTATCAAAATACTAAGAAAAATATTCTGCTTTGGAATATAAAATTAAAACCCTATGTTGTTATTCAAAAAAGTAAAAAACTTAAAAAATTATAAGGATAAAAAATATTTAAAAATATAATTTTTTAATAAAAACGTTGTTTTATAAGCGACTTGAAACTATGTAAAAAAATATTTTCAAAAAAATTTACACTTTTTGTAATAATGAGTGTTGTTTGATAAAAGAATCACCCAGTATATGAATTAATAGGAGTTAGTTAGTAAATGTTTAATGTAGTTCAATATAGTTACACAAAGAGTACATAATATTATAATTAATAGATATACACTAGCTGATCCCGTGCATTTCGTTGCCCTTAAAAAATAACAAATATTTAAAAAATTGTGATTGTTCAAATCCTTTTGGATGTAAGTATAACTCGCAACAGTAAGTGCAATTCAGCCACCCTGGTACAATTCGCAATGGTACATCAAGTATAAAGTCCATCTGTGGTGGATTGCGGACACCGCCATGAGCGGCATGTAGGCAATAATGCAATATGCGACAATCCGATTTGATGTATGCTTGATGAACCAATATACAAATAAAATATTAATACTAATGCGTCATTAATAATAATAACAATTTAACTAACGATTAACCAATGGCAACCAATAATTATTATTGTTATAGCTTTAAAACCTATAGCAACCATTTATAAACGAAAATTTCCATCTTAAATCTCAAAATCCCCGTTCGATCACCTCCACGGGTTAGACCTATATGGGTATGAAAAATAGTTTAATTCTCTCTCTCAGACCTATTGAATATACACTCACAATTCCATAAAAATCGGTCAAGCCGTTTCGGAGGAGGTTGGCGACATAGTAGGTACATAATATATTATGTACCTATATGGCTATATGTTATTTAAATTATTAGAAATTTAACACATATTATTTTCTCTAAAATGACATTGTATATTAAATCATACAATAAATACATATTATATTTGTTTTATTTTTCGTAAATTATTTCGAATGTTGTGTGATTGGGTTTTTGGAAAATACAATTTTTTCCCTTCACTTACAGCCTCTAGACGTCGGGTCTGCAATCCATCGCAGAATAGCAATATATATATAGTATATACACTACAACTCTACAGGTACATGTTTATGTGTATTGTATTGGTTATATTTGGTTATATTATGTATCTATATAATATTTGTTTTAGGGATTATAGTTGCACATTTCTCAAAATGTTCATTGTTATATATCATGCAATTGCAATAAATACATACATAATATTATATTTGTTTGTATGTATATTGTAGATAGTTTGTATTTTTCGTAAATTATTTCATATGTTGTGTGATAGGGTTTTCACTTTTAGCCGTTCGACGTCGGTTCTGCAATCCACCTGGGGTGGATTGCCTACCTGATTTGCTGTAGTACATTGTCCGCGTTCCGACGAAGTAGGATTGCCTACCTATAGGTGGCTAACTTGAAAGTTAATCGATTTTGACTTGAGATGACTGACTTGCTAGACACTCCAACACGGTTTTCGACTTTACACTTTTTACATAAGAAAAAGCACCGGACATCTAACGGCACATACCCCTCTATCAGCCGCAGGCGGATTGCTTATTTTGGTTTCGTCTTAGACGGGTGATGACTGACTTGCTACACACTCTAACATGCAGGTTTTCGAATTCACATTTTTTACACATACGAAAAATCACCGGACATACGCTATTAGATAGTATCATTGAATTGTTGTTTAATTTGGCGTTGGAAAGCGTGATACGAAGAACCTCACAACGACAACCAATGGAAGTAAATGGAAATCACACCCTCCTGGCGTACGCGGATGACATAATAATATTGGATGACACAAAGCAGGATATTGTAATTTGTAAACAGTATGACAAACCTAATGAAAGAATGCAAGCATATGGGGTTGTTGATAAATCAGGAGAAAACCAAATACATGTACATGACTAGGAAAGTACGCAGCGCTGAAGACGAATTAGATTTGCAAGTAGACGGGGTGTCCTTTCAACAAGTCCATGACTTTAAATATCTCGGAGTCAATATAAATAATAGAAATTTCAAGCATAATGAAATCAAACTTCGTTTAAAAGCCGGTAATGGGTGTTACTTTGCTCTGTCACATCTGCTAAAGTCAAAATTATTGTCAGCAGCAGGAGATGAAAATAAACTAAGTATATTTGAAAGAAAGGTCTTAAGAAAAATGTATGGTCCCGTGTATAACCCTGACACCCAAGTGTGGGAGAGAAGGTCAAATTAACAGATAAAGCAGCTATATGGGAAAGGAAGTATAACACAATTTCTAAAAGGTACAAGATTGGAGTGGGCAGGCCACGTCTGGAGAGCCGACAACAGTATTGTCAAGACGGTTCTTGTAAATAATTTAAACAGACAAAGACCGCGTGGTAGACCAAAGCAACGTTGGCTAGATACAGTCAAAAGAGATATGAAGGAGTTGAGACCAGATTGGAATGAAGACATGGACCATGCGTATGATAGAGAAGAATGGAAGAATTTAGTATTGACAGCAAAGGGCCTAAATGGCCTGTAACGCTAAAAAAAAAAAAAAATAATACGTTTAGCGTAAAGCGTAATAACAGAATATAATACGTAATACCATTGAGTATAGATATACTATAGTATAGATTTACTATCTATACTCAGTGGTAATACATATGAAACAATGATATATATTGCAGGTATCTCATGGAAACATGGTGGCGAGGAATAAATAAATCAGATTTATTTAATGCATTTTTGAGAGATATGGCTGAAGTTTTTGTAATATGAACAACATGATTTTTTTTTATAAATTATTATTATTATTATATATTTTTTTTTGACAACAATATTTTTGACAAACAAATTTTTAATTATTAATTTTTTTTAATTATTTAAGATAATGCACAATAATTCACAATATTCATAATTTTTTACAACAATTATACTATAATATTATGATATAATTGATACTTTATTTATTTGTGGTAGACCGCATACTGTATTCGTAAATCGCAGGTAGACCTCATACTATATGACAGCCATCACCTTCTATATAAGTGCGACATTTTTAATTCGACTGTGTCTCCGACATCGGTACTCACTTACAAGTAACACTGAGGGGTCCGGGGGTCGTCCTGGCTAGACCGGAGGGCTAGTAATATCTTAATTTACTTTATAGTTTATATATTATATTTTGTGGTCACCATTTATTTTATGATTTATCTATCGATAATCGATATACTTATGAATTATGATTCATGACTATGGTCTATGAAGACTAGTAGAATACTAGAATAATTATGTCTTAAATAGTTAAATCTTCATGATCATGACAACTTTACTGACAAGTGACAAGTGACAACTGACAAGACGGGCCCGTGCTGTGCATTTCAATATTTCATATTTTCCTATTATTATTTTATTCATGGAGACATGGACTAAAACTGGGTTCACACCATGTCGTGTAAAATAATCATGGTTACCACAGTTACCAAGCGATGTTTACCAAACAATTTTTATGGTTTGGAACGGTACTGGGTACCATTTTGGTATTCGTAGTATTAACCGTACCGAACGTAAAAATTGGTGTACTGTGATTGTGTGAACCCGGCTTTATTATTATTTATACGGTTTTATTATTCTGTGGCCGTGCCGGTAAACGATAGATTTTCCTTTTCCATGACAAATACAATAAAAATGTCGTACACTTATATTGTACGATTACATATTTGAACAGATGGCGTGGAACTACGTTTACACGATATTATATTATAGTTCGTGCATGTTACAATACTGATCGAACCGTGACCAATCAGGAAGCTCCAATTTCTTTTTACCATTGTTTTCCGCCGTGTGAGGTGCCGTCGTGCCGATCTCTATCGTCTGCCGAGCGTCTATGCGGGGCACTCCGGCCTGTGTCTGTTTGTTAAATTTTTATATTAATATTTTAATATTATTGTGGTCGGCGTTTTTTGTTTTTTTACCGTCTGAGTGTAATATTATTCTGATCCGTTGGTTCTAGTACCGGAATCAAGATGTATACGGTGAGTACATTTTGAATAATAATAATATGTTAAACGTTTACATACGATCACGACAATAATTACGGCGTTTCACGTTTTCCAACGCACAATATTATTAGTCATTGAAATTGTCCAGCACTATTAATAATACGGTGTTACAGATATCATACCGTAAATAGATCTCATCAATTTCCGTCGTGTATTTTGAATTTTTTAAGATATGTCTATGTTTAGGATTTTGGATATTATCTATATTATGTCGTTGTCGAAAAAGGCTGGTTTTATGTCTAGTGTTGACTGTTGTATACTTGAATTACCAAGTAGGTTGGCATAATAATATTTGGACATTTGGTATATATTATAATGGTATTATAAATCTTATTGATACACAATTGTCATCCTTTGATCATTATACATACAACTATACATGATAAATATTGTTATTTCATGTGTATTATACAATCTGTATCTGTACAATTTAGTAGATAAGCTTTAATAAATAATATTAAATAACTATTAAATTTATTAATTAACATTTTAATGTAGTATTATATAATAGAAAAGTGACACTTCACATGTGCGCCTATTTATATTTTATATGTACCTACCTACATAATTCAACTATGAAAATAAATACAATAGATAACTGAAAACAAATACCTATTTAGTAAAATAGAAATTTTAAAATTTTTCTTCATTTTAAATTTAATATTAATATGTAGGTAGGCACTTGGGTATATGAGCAATCCCAAATAGGGTGGTCAGGCCTGGATTAAGAGCTACAGTGCCCATAGGCTGTAAAAAATTTGGTACCCCTATTTAAAAAAATACTGTTAACATTTCTCTATTCGATACTTGAATAAATATAATAAAATATTATATTAGGTTTATTTAGCCACATCAATATGTACATGTATATATGTGCAAACAAGTAAAAATATAAAATTAAACAAAATATATTTTAGATATATAAAAATATAAAATAACCCATATTATAAAAAAATAACAAACCATTATTTTATGCTTTTCTTTTTCTTGCTTTTTGATTGGCAAATGTGTTAATAGTGTCATTAAAATCTAATTTTTCGACCAATTCTGCTTCAATGCTAAATATTGCTAATGCATTTAGCCTTTCCTCCTTCATGGTTGACCTCAAATAGGATTTTAATCTTTTTAAGGACAGAAAAACCCCTTCTCCTGAGCAGTTTGAAAGTGCTATACTTAGATACATAAGCATAACTATTTCTAAATTTGGAAACATATACTCTAGTTCTTTGGTCTTGATGTACTTATACTTACATTTTCTGTGGTTTGTGGGTACACTGTTAATCTGCAATTCCACGCATAACCCCCATAGATAATGCATATAATGTGCTAATACATCGGCGGCGAGCTACGATGTATATAAACAACACACCCGTGTTGTCTGCCGTCTGCGGCTCCACACACGTAATCGGTGTGCGACCGGTTCTACGGTAAAATAACAATCTAAAAAAAAACTCGGTTTAGAAGACCGCACGACAAAACGCATTGATTATTGTTTATTACTATTCTATCCTATATTTAAATAAAAATAACATCAGGATAGTATGCAATGCCCGTGCATATTTTTTTTAGTTAGGTAATTTATTCAACAATGTTCTTAAAAATTAAGTAGGCTATTCCGGCTTATGTTGTGACACCAAGAACAAATTTAAATGACAGTTAGTTTTTATTTTATTACCAATGAGTATGTAGACCCGATGAGTATGTTTTCTTCAGGTCTCCTTCCTGATAGGTCACTTCCTTCTCCTGTGAAGTTTATAGCTCCCATTCTGTTGTAATATATTATTAATTATTAAAAACAGGATAAGATTACTTGGGAAAAATATTAAATAAAAATCTTTAGCTATAGTTTTTTTTAAAATTGTATCCATCTATAATATATATAAATTATTGTGTGTCCTTTACTCCTTTATGCATTCCTAAATAGCTGGACCGATTTTGATGAAATTTCTTATGTGTTTTTGAGTGGTTCCCGGAATGATTTAGATTCACAATTGAACCCAGTAGGTCTATCCTGGGGAGGTGCTCAAATGAGGTTTTTGAGGTATACGATAGACATTTTTGTTTATAAATGGTTTCTATTGGTTATATAGGAGAAATAATTAGTAGGAATGAGTATTTATTTATTGGTTACAATTGGTTAATTGGCAGATCAGGTACAAACTTGTATCAAATTGAATTTTTAAATATTGCCCACCAGGGTGGCTAAGTTGCAATTACTGCAGCGAGTTACTCCAAAAAGAAGCTGAACGATCATAATTTTTTTGAGTTGCTATTTTATACGTGCAACAAAGTGCGAGGGATCAGCTAGTTATTTATAAATAGTAAATATATATTTCAAAAATTTTCTTTAAAACCTACTGTCATTGAGAATTTAAATAATGATATAATAACATACCATTCCTTAGATAGATACCTACTTTTAAAAATGAATTACCTGCCTATATATTATACTCTATTCCATCTAAGAGTGAACTGCTGAACAGTGCCTGATCTCCCATGCGATGGCTATACGTTCTGTGATTGGCCAACAGTCGTTGGGCGCCTGTGTTAATGCTCTCACCAATGTCCGGATTGTGGTGGGGATGCGCTGAAAAAAAGCGTGTTTTGGTCGGCCGAGGATCTCTCTTAGATGGAATAGAGTATAGTTGTGTAATTTTTCTATTCATTGTCTTTTGAATATATTTTGTGTTAATTCACTAGTCAATTAAATTGTAATAACTAATAACCAATAATGGCATTTTCACCATTAGTTAAAAGATCGATTGAAATTTTAATCACATTAATATATTCAAAGAACTTTGATAACATACTATTATTTAATTTATAGGGTACTAGTGCTGACCAGGATACTAGATTCAGTGACAAAGAAAAAAAGCTTTTGAAACAAATGAAATTTAGTGAATCTTTAAACGCTAAGGTATTATAATTAATATAATTTAATTGTCTAGGTATTTAAATTTGTTTTTATTTATTTAAATTTTCAAATACTAAAATTATCAAAATATATATGTTCCATGAAAGGTTGATATGAATAAAGTAAAACTAGATACTATCAAACCTTGGATTGGTAAAAGAATAACAGAATTGCTAGGAATGGAAGACGATGTTGTAGAAGAATTTGTGAACAATCAGCTTGAAGCCGATACTGTATGTAAAATATCTTGTATGTTTTACTTACTTTTTTTTTTAATATTGCCATTTTTTAGTGGCCTGATCCAAGAAAAATGCAAATAAATCTCACTGGTTTCTTGAATGGGAAAAATGCTCGAGTATTTATGACGGATTTGTGGGAATTACTTTTGTCTGCACAGGAATCTCCATCGGGAATCCCCCCTAAATTTATTGAGCAAAAAAAAGAAGAGTTAAAAAAGAAAATGGTAATATTATTTTTATAGTTATTGTGTTTCACTTTTGTTGTTTTTGGTAATACAAAATGTATCCATCTAGTTGATTTATAGTAAGAACAGTTTTCACATACCATTTCGATTTCTTGTATAAATTAAAGCAGTGTTTCTCAAATTTTTTAATTGTATGTTATATGAGCTATAATAAAAAATACTAAAATCCACAAAATCTACAATTGATCTATGATAAAAATGATTATATATAAAATTGATTTTGAGTAACCTTACTTTTATATTACAGTTTGAGAATCGCTGTCTTAGGGTCCGTATTACAATAGTTAAACTCAGGTTAAGCTGTGGAATTTGGCCGGTAAAATCAGTGGGTTAAGCGTAACCAAGGTTTTAACTATGATTGTAAAATGGGCCCTTATAGTATTAAATAATTAATAATAGAAAATCAGAATACCGAAATTATAAAGCAATTTGTTTGTTTATTTTGTTCATTAGAATTATTTTTTTTATTATTAAAAGTTAATTTATTATTAATCTTGATAAACTAATGTTGCAACTATATATTACAGGAAGATCAAGAGCGTGTGGGAGATATGATTAAGAAGTTTGAAAAAGATAAAGAAGATAGAGAAAAAGAAAGAAAAAAAGATAGAGAAAGGTAATTTTTAAATCTATTACAATAAAAAAATTTTTTTCTAATTCTTATATACTAATTATATTACTATATTATATATACTTCATATATATTTTGAACATGTTATGACAATCATATTTTATGCTGGATTTACATAACACTCACCTCAATTTATGATTTACATGGCTCAGGGTTGGTAATATTATAAATATTTAAAATATTTATTTTTTGTTACACCTATCCTAACAAAAACACTCCGTGTAAAAAAAATGCAAACTGAAAAAACCTTAAAGATAAATGTTATAAAAAGTATGATATAATGTGGAATCTAAGTTAATGGTCTTATGTATAAAATAAGAAATAAGAATATAAGTAATCCAATTAATCCAAATTTAGTTTACTTGGTCAAACAAATTTATTTATTTTAATGGGGTCTGCATTATTTACTACATAATCCTTAGTACTTGGCTATACATTTTTAGACTGAATCTTCCGGCCAAGTAAACTAAATTTGGATTAATTTTAGTTAAAATAATTCATATAATAAATAAATATAAATAACCAATTTTTATTAAATTTGGATTAATTACTTATATATACATTTTACACATTAAACCATTTACTTAGATTCCACCTTATATCTGAATTGTTCATTAGTAAGTTCCATTCTAGAATACTGTTCTGTATAATATGGAACCTGTTAACTGGTATTTGGGTAAATAAACTTGAAAGTATTCAAAATTGCTTTCTAAAATTTTTAGCACCTAAATTAAGATTACCAATTAATTATATTTCTAACGTTGCTAAACAATGTGATCTTGATCGGTTATTTAATTAATTTAGAAAATTACTAAATAAAAAATAAAATTAACTGCATAAATTAAATATTTTTATTACAAAGCCCAAATTAGGTAAGTAGTAAATTTATTATTCAAAATCAAACAAATTTATTTTTTCATAACAAAATGTAAATATTCCCTCCAGCAGTTAACAGTAGTTTACATTTTGTTATGAAAAAATAAATTTGTTGCTTCCAGAGAAATTTCTTTACCACTGAGTTACCTGACAGCACAGATCCATGAGTTAACAGAAGGCATCGTGGGTCTGTGTGATCAGGTAACTCAGTGGTAGTCGGCAAGCAAGAGACCTGGGTTTGATTCTCGGTCAGGCGACTTGATTTTTTAAGTTATTTCCCCTGTAGGAGTAAACAAAAACATTATACTAAGTTGTCTTATACATATGTATAATAGTACATCTTTTATATCAATTAACAGTGGTTGAACTAAATGAAACTTGAAGCATTCCAATCCCTAATTATTTGTCATTAAATTAAAATTCAACGCTTCCATTACAGTATTTTACTCTATGATGAGGTACACTTAATTGACATTTACTATACAGCAAAACTTTGCCTACTTTTATATAGTGATTTTACACTTAATGTCATTAAGTAAACCTGTTGTATATACTTTATGTGGCCAAACAATTTGAACAGGTTTTTTAGTCTAATAATAATTCTATACACAAATAAAATTTAGTAACACAGAACATACCTAATAATTCTTAAATCCTTTCTAAGAACTACCTATCTTTACGGCCAAAACATGAATGATTTAAAATAGTAATATTAATTTTCTACAATTTTATTGTTTTAGAAGGAAAAGTCGTAGTAGATCACATACACGCGATCGTCGTAGCAGATCTAGAGATCGCCATCGTGATAAACGTGATAAAGAAAAGGAAAGAGATAAATATAAAGATCATGATTCAGATAAAATACGAGAAAAACATACAAAAAGAGAGTAAGTATTGTAATAATTTTGTGTTTTTGTCAATAAATTAAATTCCTAAATTTATATTTAAATACTTATTATTTAAATATAAATACATAAGTAGATTATTATGTGATAACCATGCTAAAACTTAGTGTACACATGGCTTTTCTATTAGTTGAATGTAAATGTGGGTTCCAACCTTAGTTGCAGCAACTTTTTATGAATTATAATATGCAATATTTCATTATTATTAATTATATGTTATTTTCGATGTTATCATGAAAATATGCTGAAAAATAAATAGTTTTTATGATAACTTAATCACATACGTTTATGTACTTATAAATCATTTTATAACTATGTGGTATTATAAAGTAATTTAAACTGACCAAGTTGTGTTTTATTTCATTTTTAATGTAAATTAAATGAATAAAGTGACTACTTAAAATAATTTCATTGTTTAATCTAAAATAGGTTAATAAACTGTGTTATAAAAATTTAAAATTGTAATGTTTTAAAAGCTGTATTTTTAAAAAACCAAACAATACATCCGTCCCAAGTTAAAATATATGTAGTTCAACATGATATTTTTATATAAATCTGAAGTTAAAAAGTGTCCCAAGTAAACCCATTTTACAGTAGAATAATTTTCAAAATATTTTAACCAAGATAGTTAAGGAATTTTAAATTTTGGTTTTTTTTCAAAAAATATCTAAACAATGTATACAATATACAAGGTTTTTCCTGAACTGTTATTACTGGAATTTAAAAAAAAAAGTTTAGCGTTTAAACAAAAAATAATGGTTTTAGCTATTTTGTTGTTCAAAAATATTATCTTGGAGACTTGAAACTTTTACTTATATTATTATATTATACATTTATACTAAATACCAATCCTATTTATACCATAAACCTTTTCATACAATATTGACTAACAATTTAATAATAATATAATAAATGCAATGTTTTATGGGAAAAAAATTATTTAGTCTTCCGTATTACCTATAATATTAAAATGTATTCCTATAGTAGCAAAATAAATAACTTATAAATATATTATAAAATATACTAAGTTTTAAAGCTGATAGATCACCTCCACTCTGAATCATTTTTCTATATCTACTGTGTGTCAGTGTTACCTACTTGCCCTATTTTTTTTTTTATCTTTAACAGGTATTGAATAATATAATAAATGTATTTTTATGTTATTAGTTCTCGTTCAAAGTCAAAAGGAAAACTTGTGAGTAATGGACATACTTCACCGACTAAAAAAGAAAAAAGTCGTAGTTGTTCACCTAAAAATGATATTATCTCAACTGAAGAAAAAACTACTAATCCAAAGACTTCGTAAGTATTATAGTTGTTAGTTAAGTGTTTTTTACTTTTGTGTCTGAAGAAGGATGCTTTGATGAGGTTCAAAATTGAAAATTCTCAGTTCTTTTTAAATAAGTTTGGTGGGAGGAGTTAAAGATTTGTTTAAATCTTAATAATATTATTATTACTGTAAAAGTTTTTAAGTAGCTTTGGTTAAAAAAAGTTAGACAGTCACTAAGAATTGTTTTTCATCATATAGGTACAATGATTTATCATTGAATTCAAATTAAACCTAAGCTAGGTAGAGCTCAGTACGCCTTACTCCTATTGTAATACAGATTGTCAGATTTTTTAGTATCTGAATTATTTGTTTTAAATATAATTTACTTGTAACCATAACTAAATATGTTTAAAAGCACACAACACAAAAAATATATTCCTTGAAATGATTATTAAATGTTAAATCTTTTTAGTTAGAACTACATAAAACAATTTTGTCAAAATCCAATCAAAAGAAGTGGGCGGGTGGATGCTAAACAACTTAAAAAGAGTCAACATTTTATGGTGTAAAAACCAAAATCGATTTTGTGGAAAATTCCTATTTTTCCTTAAGTTTTATGTTGTTGTCCAGCGCTTTAGAAAACTATTGGGAATTTTAAAACTTTTCCTCCCGAATGCACCAATTAGATTCACCTTCCCATCAAACAAGATAGGCAATACTGCTCCAAACCTTGATGACCGACACAAAAAAAAAATTTAAAAATTAAAATACAAAACACATCAATGTAAAATTGATACATTCATCGGTTCCACTCAGAATTTAAAAAAATATTATTTAAGCAGATATAGATTGGATTAGTTCTAACCATGTGGCATCCTGGGCAGAGCTCGGCATATTCGCCTATCTAAAAAAATTTGTTTTGTGTTTTGTTCTCCTTTAATAGAACACATTTAAATGTTTAAATGTTATCTAAAACGTGAAATATTTTTTGAAAAATACTTATTTATAAATAATAAATGGACAGTGCGAGGGTAAAAAGGAATAAGTCAATTTGTATAAATAAAAATATTTTTTTTGGTTTTGTTTTTTGGCTTATCTCATTCTTAACAACATTATAAAGAAAGATAACTAAATTGCAGTGTCACCAGTCAAACCAGCATACAATTATCTACAAAACGAAACAGAATATTTTTGTTTATAAAAATTGATATATTGCATTTTGCCTAAGCACCTTCCAAATATACCATACTTACCTATTTTCATATTATTTATTATTTTTTTTATTTTAGAGTTTCGCCTGCTAAAGACAAAGTTGTAGAAACAAATAATAAACCTAAACCTAAAGAACGATCATTATCTAGAGATTCTACTAAACGCAGGGAGAAAAAACGGCATCATTCTTCTTCATCAAGTCGTAGTTCATCATCATCTAATTCTTCTTTAAGCCCTGGTAAGTATTAAAGATTTTAAATTAATTTAACTGGTTTAATTATTTTATAAATATATTTTTTCTAGACCGTAAAAAAGATTTTGAGATTCAGAAAAAAGAAAATAGTATCCAAAAAAAAAGACAATACCGAACAAATAAAGATGAATCGTCTGGAAGTGAATCGGACAAAGATAAATCTACAGATAGAAGAGTAATATTTTTAATTTTAATGTAGAAATTGGTGTACCTAATTTTGTAACGAGTTCTGACTAATAATAAAAATGTATATTTATAATCTTTAAGGATCGTCGTGATCGTTCATCTTCTCGATCAAGGCGTCCATCTAGACATGCTTTCAATCGTGGCCGCTATCGTGAAAAAAGTCGTGATCGTTATTATAGAGATAGGGAAAGGGAAAGGGCAAGAGAAAGAGAACGTAATCGCCGTGATCGTGAGCGGGAACGTAGAGATAGAGAAAGAGCAATTCGTGAAAGGGAACGTGAACGTGATAGACGTAGGCAAAGAGAAAGAGAAGAAAAATCATCACCTCGAAGAAGGTAACTTGTAGTATTAAAGTATTAAACATTAAAACCCATGTCTTAAAAAAATTCAACGATACATGTTTTATGGTTAGGAAATCCAGAAGCCCTGAAAGAAAATCTAGATCAGGCAGCAGACATACAAGATCTCGTTCAAAATCTAAAGTATGTTATTTATTCATAATAATTTATTTGTTATACCAGCTAAACAGTATTTGTTAATTGCAATTCATTAAGTTATAAGCATAAAGTTATATAAGTTATGTATTGCTTAGAGGAGACCAAGTGGAAAATCACGTAGCAGGGAACGCACTGTTAAGGATTCTAGTATTGTTTCTCCCACAAAAAAAGATAACACTTCAAAATCAAAGGTTAGGTTAGGTATTAATAATTAACATTTTAGTATAAATTTATATCACATTGATAATGTTACTGTATTATGTAATTAATCTTATTTTTTCAACATGTTATTGCAGTTCTTTAAATTGTTATTTTTTTTTTCATGTATAATCAGGCTTCTCAAGAAAGTTTATCTAGAACCCCTTCACCTTTTAAGAAAGTTGAAGACAAAGCAGAACGTAAACCAGTAAAAGATAGATTGTACGTATAAGATAATTTTATTTCTAAAACATAGTTTTTACTTTTTATTGCTAGAACTCAATATATATTTTCTAATTGTAATATTGTATTTTATACATATTCAATCAAAGACAATTCTAATGTTGTATAATATTTTATTATATTACACTTCTTCAACGATATATTATATTTTTGAATATTGAAATTGTTTTGTTTTGTGCAATAACGAAAAAAAATAAGGTACCGATATTCCGAATTATCGTTAATTCAAAAAAATTGTTTTTAAAATATATTATACAAGTTCTTTGGCGTTAAAATCAGTTGGTTTCAGTTAACCTGAATACCTAATGGCCGGGGGCTGTTAATTAAATATTAAAAATAAATTTTGATTACAAAGTATTCAATATTCTATGATATACTACGATTATCGATATATAAATTCTCGAAAAAAATTTACGATATTGATATCGTTGAAGAAGCCTATAATGGGCTACAACAGCTCTCCATAACGGCCACATCCATTTTTCATCAATATTTTGCGTCGCGAAAATAAGGGCCAGTGGGCGATGGGGTTTTCAACCTTCACTCCTTGTGATTTTTATCCTAAAACATATTTTAGAGAAAACATGTATTACAATACTTTTTAGTTGTTACTGAAGAAATAAATTTGCATAATTTTTTTTTAAATTAAATAATTTGATACTTATTTTTCCTAGGGGTGTTAGAGATGAACAAAATTCTAAATCTTCTCAGCCACAAAGATCAAAAGGGCAATCTCCTTCATCGGAAAAAAAAAATAACGCTGATAAAAAGTAATTTTAGTATTTTATTTTTATTTACAAAATAAATGTTAAATATATTCATATTCGTTCAATATTTGTTTTAGAAATTCATCTAGTTCTAGACGAAAGTCATCAACATCTCCTGCTATTAAAAAGAAAGAAGAAGTGAGTATTTTTTTACTTACAGTATATACCTACAGTCGGATCTGCTTAATTGGGACACATCGGTTTTACATGCAATTCATTCATTCGGGACTGTCATTAATGTCCCTATTAAGCAGGTCCCTTTAAGCGAATTCTACTGTATTTATTTGGGTTAAATTTATATATTATTTTTAAAAGTAATATTTAATGACGCATTAGAATTTATTTTGATAATCATGATTATAAAATATATTTGAGATGTAAGAACTGTTCAACATATAAGAGGTCTAAGATTATATTCAGTTTAAGAACACAGATAGGTACTATTGTTATTATACAATTAAATATTGTCAAATATCTTAAAAATAAATAGATGTTAAGTATTAACAATGAGAGGACAGCAGAAAATAATCAGATGTCAAAGTAGCTAATCTGCGTTCAAAAAATTTTTATTATTGTATTGTTAGCTTAATACTAGAGTTCAGTGGCGGCAGGATATAGGATTATTTGAAGCAATTGCTTCATGTCTGAAATGGGTGGGTGGGTGTATAAATATAAATATAATTGTAAAACCTCAACAAAAATATTATAATTAATAATTATTAATGGCCCATGTTGCTAATTTTGGTTCAATGAAGGGTACGGTGGAAAAATATTTAAAATATACAATATGCTTCAAAGCCTACACAATTTCGCGCCGCCACTGCTAGAGTTAACATTCCTAAATAATATTAATTAATAGCTATCCAACTTAATTAAAAGACAATTTTCTGTCTTTGTATGTCTTTTATTATACTTGAAAAGTTTTAGTGGGTAATGAGCATTTTTATATTGTTATATTTTACACATTCATTAATTCCTTGAAATGAAAGTATTATATAAATCTAACTTATTCCACAAATAATGGTCTAACCTTTAAGTTATATATTAGGTCATATTCACTCTGGTCATAAAGCTAAGAACCGTATAGCAACGCAAAATTAGTTCTGTTGAACTCTAATTTGGTTATGTTATGCATTGTTTTGTTCGGTATATCCATACAATTTATAATTAGTCCATCTATATTAAATATACCTAGAATTATACATTTTTATTTATTTATTTGACTTTTAGGATAAAATAGAAAAAGGAAAAAAACCTATGAAGAAATCTGACACTTCTGATGCCGAAAACACCAAAATTAAAAAAAAAGAAGAATCAAGTTCTTCAGATGAATCATTTAAAAAGTCTAAAAAGAAAGTTAAAAGAGATTCTAGTTCAGATGATGATAAAGTAAAAGCTAAAAAACGTAAACTCAAGGATTCTACTTCATCTGAAGATGATGATTCTAAGAAAAAAAAGAAACGCAAAAAGAGATCGTCTAGTTCAAGTTCAGATGTATGTGTAATTTTGAATTAATTTTAAAATCTGTATTTTTCTTCATTGTATGTGCTATTACAGGAAAGTGACAGAGATGACAAAAAAAAGAAAAAGGACAAGAAACATAAAAAACATAAGAAGCATAAGAAACACAAAAAACATAAGAAACGCAAGACTGAAGAAAGTGTAAATAACATTTTTATATTAACTATACTTATTATGTATTTATATTTCTAATAATTACATTTTCTATTTTAACATACTAGGGTTCTGATGCCAAATCTGGAGATGAGTCGGAACAACGTTTAAGGGAGAAGGCACTGCGTACTATGAAAAAGAAAAATCAGGCTAAACATGATGGAACCCCTAACAGTAATAGCAGTGATTAACAAAAGAGGTTAGTTTATACTGACGATAAAACCTTAAATATTGTTTGACTAGTATACACCTCAATAATTACTTATAAGCTACAATATCTAATTATACTTACATGTAAAAACAACAACAAAATTGGTCTAAGAAATCTGTAGAACAGTACAGAGAAATTTTTTTAAACATAAACCGTTAATATTATTTAACACATTTAGGTAAATCTGTATATTTATAATATAATTGTATCCTAGATGTTTTTTTTTTTTTTTTTACTTTTATTATTAATTTGGTATACTAATATAATAATCAAATAATTTAAATACAAAAACGATATAATTTAAACATAATTTCATTCCATTTTTATCTGAACTGATCGTTTTCAAACCGATAATTTATAAAACTTTTTGTATTACTTGTATTCAAATAGTCACTCTGAACAACCCTTAACCAATGTATTTATGTTTTTTTTTCTTTTTAATTAACTCGTTTAGTCAATAAATAATAATTTTTAGGTAAGAAATTCTTTGTTTTTGTCATATCGATCGTTGTAATTCTAGCAACGAGAATTTGACAGGTTAGCCCTACTGTCCAGTCAACAGGCTGCTGACTTGTTGGCAGAGTTATACTTGCATCATTTTCATAGCGCTGTCTGATCGTTTTTGAAGCCCCTCAATTGTTTTCTTTCAATCAACATTTTTAATGAGCAACTACAATACATCTATCAACATTCATTCTGCATTTCTCCTATCAACATATCTACAATCAACGTTACTTCTATCAACACACCCGCAATCAACATAACTTCTATCAACACATCCACTTTCAACATTCCTTCTATCAACACCAAATCCTCACTGCAATCAACATTTCTCTCATCGACAAATATCTTTCAGATCATTTGAATGTTTTGTGGTTTTCAAACCATTGACAGCTATCGCTTCATCCACTAATTATTCAAATCCGTATGATTAGTATAATCTAAAATAAGATGACATGTGTAATGTTAATATCTTGACCAATGAGAGTTGCGTTATGGTATGCATTCTAAAATATCATTATTTTTTAAATCAACAATCATTTTTAAAAAATTTTTTAATTTTAATTTTAGGATAAATACAATACCTACGACTGCTGTTTGAAAATGTACCTAGACCAATTGAAAATCTACAGTTGATCTAAAAAGTTTTTGGCTTATGTCAAATTATTCAATTAATATAATACAATATAATCTAATTTTGTCTAAAATATTTTGTTATGAGAAAATCTATTTTAAATTTAATTGTTTTGTTTCAGGACTTATAGTTAAGAAGAATTTGAAGTATTAGTGATAATTCTGAAGAATGGTTCTTAGAAGATTTCTTACATTTTAATAATTTTTTTAATAATTTTTCAATAATAAACGATTTATAACATTAACGCAATTATACACATCATACAATGAATATTATATTATATTCAATTTTTAAAAATGTATCATAAATTAAAATACATTGTTTAATTTAATATTTTAATGTTTCACTTAAGCAATACAACATAGTTTACATTAATTAGTAATGTTATTATTAGCTATTACAATTAAATAAAAAATAAATATGACATATATTTTTACTTAAATATGAATTTTATTTGTTTATATAAATATCAATTTTAATGTTTATCCTGTTAAGTTTCAATGCCAGTACCGTATGCAATTTGAATTAGAAACAATAATTCAATATTTTTATGATTCTTTTACTACTAAACTGTGTAACTGCATAAAAATTGAGTTAAATGTTTAAAAATGCTTCATAATATTTTCTAACAATTAAATTTACAAATAATTTTAGGTGGACTACTGCTGTTATCTGACTAATACTGCTAAGGTTTTTAACTAAAAAGTTATCAACAGAGATACAAAATGAATGTATTACATTTTTTAGTCTATTAAATATATGAAAGTCAACTATTATGTTGTTCCTACTTTTCAAAGATAGTACCATAGATGGCCTAGCCTCAAACATGCATCAATAGAAACCATTTGTTTAATGTAAAACCAACAATAATAATAAATACAAAACTACAGTCAGAAAATCATGTAAGTAACAAGTACACATGTACAATATATTCTTTAATAATAAATAGTATAAAATATAAATTAGCTATTACCATTAGCAATGGTATTACATTACTGTGTGCAAATTACTTATTAAATGTAATATATTTTAATTAATATTAAAAAATCTACTTGTCTTAAGATAATATATGTAACTTGTGACAAAAAGTTATCTTAAAAAAAAAATTATACATTATTGTAATAATTAATATTTTTAAAATCATCCCATATTATATTTAACAAAGTTTTTATTAATTAACAATAATTCATAGCTGAGGCTAAATAACTTAACCAAACATCTTACAGGAGATACAGTAACAAACCAATTACAAACACTCCTTTTTTATTTTAAATTGTCTCATAATATTTTTCTTTTAAAACAGTGGATTACACTTGGCAATTAAGATCTCATGTATATTCAATGGGACACGCCCCCAAACTTTACTGTGAAAACACATTCAAATGTAAAATTATCATAACATTTTCTTGATACAACACCTTACATATGCAAGGTGGCTTTTAAACATCTGACTCTCCTTTATGCTTAAATTATGCGTATATTCAAATTCTGATTTTTGGAATTTTTTTTACTCTGTGTGTACAAACATCTGTTTTTTTAAATAGGACTCCCTCCCCTCATTCTTTGCATTTTAAATTATTTATCAGATATATTTTTTTGAGAAATTTCTGTATATTACTCAAAATTCAAACAAGTAGTATAATATAATATAAGGTCCTACTATAATAAACACTAGGTACATCTAATATTACATACATAGTTTATATTTTTAAGAAAATCTAGTAATTAATTTTTGGTGAAGAGGGGGTTCTCATTTGAAAAATAGAACTCTGTACTGCAACAGGGTACTTTTTAAGTGGTACAAAAAAAATCAGGAATTTCAAAATATGGTCTTTAGCTGTAATTAAAAATTTAAAAAACAATTTGAATAAATGTACTATTAAAGGGAAAAATTAAGGAGAGCATGCATAAAAAGTCCCCTTGTATACGTGGGTGCTTTCCAAATATAGTGTGATAAAAATGCATTAGGGATTATGTTGGTTGTTACGCGTATCCCCACTATTTTTTATTACAGAAAACATTAAAATAAATAAATATCAACTTGTTCATATTTTATACCATTGTATATTTGTATGCGAGTACAATGATACACATGAATTAAAGTTCCTAACCAGTTTTTAAAATTGAAATTTTAAGACTGTGAGATATTGTGTAGTAGATTTTAGGCGAAAACATATTTAGACTAAATATATATATGATTATCAATAAGTAAAATAACAAAATAAAAATATTAAATTAAGTTAATTAGTAAGTAGAATAATAATGTTTGGTAATTACTTTTTGTAACATACAAGGCAAGTATTAAATTAATTTAATTTAGTGTCTCGTTAAATAATAATAATTATGTTCAAATTTTTTCTATAAATTGTAAATGGTTTTCCACTGTTCTTGATCCAACAATTTCAGGTTCATTTATGTCCTCGTTAATTGAATAAAGTAATTTTTTGGCCAATATTTGGATGTCTTCATCAATACTATTACAATGAGTTGTCACCAATTTGATAAAGGTTGAATTTTTGTACAAAACAAGTTGTTTTTGACTTATGCCACCTACAAAAAATAGTAATATGATAAATCCATATGATATTTCCATATTCTTTAGAATTAAACATAATTATAATGTACCAATTCAGGACTTAAACACAATAATTATTACAAGAGAACGTCCCACCCGTTTGTGTTGTTTCCATCTTACACATACCACATAGGCAAAACGCGTTTAAGCAGTTTGAGTAAAAATCGCTCATTTTGGTTTTAGAACAAAAATACCTATTATAAAATTGAATTGTGACAATATTTCTGAGGTCAAGTTGTTGGGTTTTTCTAAATATAAAGTTCATTATATCAATTAGAAGTATAAAAAATTCTGAGTAGAACTTACACAATGCGACTTTTGTCTATGTCTTACATGTGTAAGAAGGAGACAACACAACCTCCCCTATAGGCCAAAAGTTAACCTTAACAGTAATATTCATTTTTTTAATTTTATTTAATGCTATTTTAAAATTTTTTTTTAATTGCAATACAATTTTAAATATATAAAAAATACCAAGTTTCAATAAACTGGTATTATCAGCTAGTGGTCTCTGCCACTGTCTCGTGTATGCAATTTTTAATAAACAAATTCAAATTTTATATTTTTATAGTAAATATTTAGGTTCACCGTAATAATCATTTAATTTAGTCAATACCTATTAATTATAATACATTCTTAAATCACATGAACACGGATAATATGACATTTCATAAAAACACTTCAGTGAGGTTAGATAATTCAATCCATCATTAGAATCGTAGTGAACTTAATTTGTCATTGGCTTAATTATTATTCAATTCATCCGGGGTTATGAACACCTTCGATTGACAAGTTTCAAAAAACATTTTATAAATATGTTTTGATAACTTATTAACCTGTAAAGTTACCTATTAGCTATTAGTACCTTAAGCCCTTAAGGAGAGAACGTCACTTCATAGAAATGTATATTATAGCAATTAGCAAAATATTTAAAGACAAGATGAATGATATTGTAATATGTAATAATAAAAAAAATTAATGTAAAGCAGAAAAAAATTATTAAATAAAACTTATATTTAATGTGGTTGTTAATTTTAGATTCTGATTTTGTTTTTATAATTTTGAAAATTCTCAGGATTTTTCAAGTGTTGGGAAAAACAAGAAATTTAATGCAAAATTATTTTTTGGTTTTGGGCGTATTTCTAAAAAAAATTTGTGTAAATACATGAAATTTTTACCGAATTTTTATATGATCAGTTTCTACACACCATTCAATTTTAAAAACAATTACTCTTTTTGGGCTATTTAGAGGAATAAGACAATTTTAATTTTTATAGCTTTTTTAACATTATTGCTGATTACATTTTTTTGCACACAAGATTTTATATTATTGAATTCAAATTGAACACATCCTATACAAGGACCCACTTAACATTTACTTTTTAGGAATCTGGAGAGAGGTACTCACTAACCCACCTTTTTTTATGATACATCTTATTATATCCATGCCTTTCATTACAATTGGATTAAATGTAGAGTGCTTTAAAACATCTATAGTGACTTTGATCAATTTATCTGTATGATTCTCATCCATAGACTCAAAATTTGTAGCATATAAAAGATTTCTAAAAAATAAATAAATTATAGTTAGTCGATTTCAAAATAAATTAAACAATTTTAAAACGCACTTAAACAAACAAAGTATAGATACTTCCATCAATGAATTATTGTCTTTGATTGATTTGTCCAAAGTATTTATAAACCATGTTATATGCTTCATTATAGTTTTTGCAGGACTTATGGTTGTAAGATTTGATTCATATTCTATAGCAGTACAAAGTAATATTAAATAATATTTTAATTTTAAATAAAAACTTATATAAACTTACTATATCTACTAAAATTTGCCAATGACCTTACAGCCGACAACTTAACGTATAAATTATTAGAATGTAGTTTCTTAAGTAGCCATTCTACTAAATATAAAACATCAAGTTGCTTATTTTTTTCCATAGAACCATCTAAATAAAAACATTAAAATTTAAGAGAGATAATTCAAGTTAAAATTCAACTTCACAATATATATATCTAATATTACAAAAATTGTATTTCAAATTTGACTCCAGATGTAACAAAGCACGAGCCAAGATCACAGAGACATAATTATTATTAATATATTTTAGTTAAAAATTCAATAAGTAATTCATACCATCATTGGAAAGTAATATTATGATATCACATATTTTTTTAACAATAAGTTTTGGATCTTCTTCTTGGTTTTCTTCATATTTATCTAATATTTCTATTAATGTTTTATGTTTTTCTTTTAATATCCAATTATAAACATCTAAACATATTTTTGTTTTATATAATATATGTCATATAGGTTAATTTAAGTATGTTAGTTTAAGTATTTTATGCATTTACTATAAGTTTTAGAGACTTTTTTAATGAATTTAATACAAATGTAAGTAACATTGATTTGCATATTATAAGTTTCCAATAAACGGTCAATAAAATAACATTTTTCATAATCTGTTATTTTAGTGTTACTTGAGGATTTTCTAACAATATTGATCATTACTGATACCAAGTTTATATAAAATCTATAGTTATTATTATTATATTCCATGTATTGAATTCCATATAAATTTAATTCTTCAATCATGTTATCCTGAAACTGAAAAATTTACTATAAAATTTTTTTCTTATAGGTATATTAATTGATTATTATTTATTATTTATATAAACCTTGTAATTGTAGTCATCCAAATGAGTTAAATTTAATAATAACCCAATAACAACAGGTTGAATGTTTTCATTAATGTTTGTTTTCAACACTTCCATCGTAATTAAAAGACATCCTTCCTTTAATGCACACTTGGTATTTTCTTCTAAAAATGTTTTGAAACAAATGTATATTTTTTTTTTTTTAAATGCTTAGTTTAATTTAAGTGCACAAGTAATTAAAATTAAGTAATTATAAACAGACAAATTTGATCCAAAAGAACTTGATCAATACATTTTTTAATATTCATTATAAATTGGCAGTGATAACAAACTAAGATAGAATTCTATCTTAGTCGATGGTAGTAACTAGTAAGTACTAGTAACTAATGTTAAATTTTAATAATAATAATTTTGTTTTACGCACAAGTAAACATGAACACTTCTAATTGTTCTATAACTACAACTAATGTTATTATTTACCATGATAATAACAAAGATTTCCAACTGCACGACATGTCTGAAGCAAACATTCTTGAATACATTTATCTTTATTAATACGACTTGTAAGTGATTTTAATATATTCACAGTAGACACGGTTATTTTTTCTCCAAAATAATGTCTCGCTAAGTCATCTGAGCATAATGAAGCAATTACATTACATCCAGCAGCTAACACTTGATTGCCATGAATATTAGGTGATAAAGGCAAAAAATTAATTAATTTATCATAATCATCTTCTGACAAACCTAAAAATAGTATATATTATAATTAATAAGTAATATATTTATGTTTATATTATATTCATTGCTTCAATTTTAATGTAAATAATGTTTTCAGGGATAGGACTTAATACGTAATACTTGTAATAAACTCTAAAATTGGGATTAAGATACTTGACTAATATAGAAAAAAATACCTACCTAGTACCTACTATTCACAAAACAAATTGGTAAATTGAAAATTGTTAGAACTATTTTGGGTAATTGTGAAAAATGTAATACATTAAATATTTGTAATAGGTACTTACATTTTGGATCAAGTTCAGATAAATCATTCAATAAATCCATAATATTGTTATAATCAATTTCATTTACTTGTTGGTTTTTTGTATTGATATTTAAAGACTCTAAAGAAATGTTTTCCATTTTAAAATTCTAGAAAAATATAATATAATAAATAGGTAAATAATTTATTAATATTAATAATTTGTATTTAGAGTATGTTCTTCTTTTTCATTCTCATAAACTTTTAATTATTAATTCACTAACCTGATTTTCTAATTTTAATATTATTTTAATACATTCCGTGTACCTAATTAATTATACAAATACTTTCAATCGATTTTCTAAAAATATTTTTAATATAATTTTAATACCATCGGATTATGACTTATGAGAATTGTCATAAATAAAACAAAATAATTTTAAATCAAATATATTATTTTAAGTAAACATTAATGTAAATACAGTTACTTTAAACAGTTTAAAAACCAAGCATTTTCATTTCACGAAGAATTAATTTTTCTTATTATAGTAAAATGCAATATAGTAGTTCCACTGTGGTACTGACTACTGAGGTAGTTTACTAGTTTAGTGTTTACTGTTTAGTCCACGGCATAGATAAAAGAAGTCCGTTGTTTAGTCTAGAGAAGAATTAAAAAAATCAACTTTTTAGTTTTTATACCACGGTTATAGAAAGATTATAAGAAACTTATCAGCCACATTTTGGTACGCGGATCACGGATATCAGGGCAATACAGTGTTCTCCAGCACATTGATAAGAAACTACTTGGGGAAAATTAAAATTTTAGAAAATACCAACTATCTTTTTTCAGAAAATTGATTTCAAGGAATTTAGTACTATACAACCACACCCACTGGCCAGTGGCCACTGTACTTTTAATACAAGTTACAAGAACTAAATAATAATTTATATTTAGAAGATTTAGCTTTTTATTTTTTATTGACTTTCTAAAAGCAACAAGTTATATCTCATTATGATTTATGGACCACAATTGCGCGGCTAATGAAGTTGAAGCAGACGGTGATAAATATTTTTTTAGTTAAGACTTAAGATAGTAAAACTAAATTATTATTATTTAATATTTATTTATTTTATACAGTCTGTAAATAATGTTTACATTAGACAATATGAGACAAAAAATAATTTTTTTACCCTTTCAAAAGCTAAAGGTAACATTTTTGCATAATTGTGTCCCCTTATTAATTGGAATTTGTTGTCCAGCTGTCATATTATAGATTTGAAGATAATAATTAAATTAGTGTTAATTTATTAAAAAAGTAACATTCCTAAAACCTTCAACCTAAGTAGGTATCTATGTAATATAATGCATTACAATTATTAATTATTATTATTATAATATATTTAACATGGCTAAAATTAATAAGCTATAAACTATTATTTAGCTATGTATCTAACTAGCAGTGTTGTAAAGTATTTGAGTAAAAGTATTTGAGTAAAAGTATTCAAATACTTTTTTCCGTATTGAATACTTTTTCAAATACTTTTATTTTTGAAGTATTTGAACGGTATTTTAAATACATTTTTTTACTATTGAATACTATTTTATTGAATACTTTTTTTATTCCTTCAACTTTTATTCATTGTCAAATAATAATAATGGCTTAATAATATTATAATATATATTTATCATTTATGAACAATTCTATATTGGTTTTAGTTTTCGTCTATTAATAGCTAATTAATATTAGTTACTCTGAGAAACCGTCTGTTTATCGTCGACACTCGACGACGATTGGAACGGTACGTTTCGGTACCTACTACCGACCAATATAGTATATTATCATAGCGAAATATAATACGAATATTAGGTAGGTAAGGTATGTCGTATACGTACATATTTTTTGTTTTGTATTTGAAAATTATTTCAAATACTTCTAAAAAGTATTTGAGTAATACTCAAATACTTTACAATAGATAGTATTTGGGTGGTATTTTAAATACTTTATTTTATAAGTATTTGAGTAATTACTCAAATACTTTTTAAAAGTATTTTTTACAACACTGCTAACTAGGTACCATTATTAATTTTTCAATTCACTATGAAAATGCAATTATTTTGGAACAGGAAGCCATAGATAGGTATATCAACATAATATCATAATATACAACATTACCTGTCGTTCGACTATAAAGTCGTTAGTCTATATGGATAATTTAGGCTATAGATATTACAAAAATAACAGTCGTAACAATAAAATGTAAGTGTAGCAATATGTCAGAAATTAATATTTTATTATCTGTTTATATTTTAGATTCTGAGTGAAACGATGAATGTATTGATTTTACAATGATGTGTGTTTTTTTTTTATTTTTTTTTTATTTTTTTTATTTTTTTTTTATTTTTTTATTTTTTTTTTTATTTTTGTGTCTGTCATCACGTTTTAGGACAGTAAAAGTGCTTGGATTTTCTTCATCAGTAGCTTTTCTGATAGGAAAGTGAATCTAGTTGGTACTTTGGGGGGTCAAACGTATAAATTTCCCAGTAGTTTTCACAAGCGCCAAGAAAAACAACATAAAAATTAAGGAAAAACTGGAATTTTTACGCAAAATTGGTTTTCCAAAAAATCGATTTTGGTTTTTGGTGTAACTCTAAAACAAATGAACGTATATACATGAAATTTTCACTGGTTGTTTATATTTGCATTTTCTATACACGATAACATTTTCAAAATATTTGGATTTATTTTGAACTGTTTAGGGACATTTTCATTTTCCATTTTTTTTTAGTTTTTTTTCTAAAAATATCAATAAAATTTATTTGTTGGTTGCGAAAGCTTGAAAATTTAATAGAAGGCTCCTAATATATTGTTTCAAAGGCAGATGAAAAATATTAAAAATCCTTAGTCACAATTTTTTTTTATAAGCATTTAAAGTTCAAAAATTGACAAAATATGGAAAAATCACGAAAATTAGCAAATTATTTTGAGTTAAGAATTCGTAAAAATTTTTCTTTTTAAATCTAAGATTTGAAAATTAAACACAAGATTCCTTTTAAGATTATCTACCTTTATCAAAAAAAAAATGTCTATAAGAAAGTCAAATTAAATTTTTATGACCGTTTGAAATTCAAATTTTTACAACATTGAATATTCACTCGATTTCCCACGTAGCGATTTCCTTATTTTGTTGTAATTCAAAAACAAATAACTGTAGATACATGAAAATTTCACTGAATGTTTATATTAGCATTTCCTATACACCATACAATTTTGAAAATATTTTGACTCTTTTTGAGCTGTTTATGGACATTTACAGCTTTCAATTTTTTTTAGTTTTTTTTCTATAAATATCAATAAAGTTTTATCTGTTGGGCCAAAAAGTGGAAAATTTTAATACAAGGCTCCTGATATATTGTTACAATAGCAGTTGAAAAATATTAAAAATACATAGGCACAGTTTTTTTTATAAGCATTTAAAGATCAAATTTTGACAAAATTTATCAAAATCTCGAAAATTATCAATCATTGTAATTAATAAATTATAAAATGTTCAGTTTTTATAGCTAAGGATTGCAAATTTTAAACAAAGGTTCTCATAAATAGTTCATACTGTAACCAAAAAATCTAAAAAATATATGAACACAGTTATTTTTTATAGACATTTTAAATTCAAATTTGGACGAAATTACATATTAAAAAAACCTAGAATAACTATTATAGTTATTTTGTTGTGATTGAATAATATTATTCGTGGGTACTTGAAACTTCTAAAGTGTACTATTATATATCTATGATAGTATCACGGTTTTTGTTGATGTATAACGCGTTATAAGTACCTAATGGACATTGTGATATGATTAATTTGGAATTTATTATAGGTACCTATTATAGTTCAATTTTTTGTTTAATACCATAGATATGTATATAATATGTCTTATACATAGACTGACATACCGTCTCCGCTCAGAATCGTTTTTCTTATACAATGATATTATATCGTTGAATTCAAATTTAATATCATCCATTATACAGTGACCCACTTGTAACCTACTGTACAGCAAAGCGACACCCACTTGCCCACCTTTTTTAAATATTTAGTTATTTGGTATGTGAAAACCAAAAAAATAGAACTGCATTTTGTCCAACCACTGCGCATAGTTGCACATTGGGTGTGAATTTAGGGGGTGCTGGAATAATTTATGGTTCACAGATCCGTGGGGGGCTTTGCCCCCCCCCCCTAAATCCTAATATTTCTGCATTGCATTAGATTTAATTTTGTACAGTGTATATAATAATATCTAAAGTGCAATGTATCAAATAGTCTGTATGATTGTAAATAAGACGCTAGGTACACCCACATGTGTTGTCTCCGTATTACAAACGTAGGTACAACTAAGCTAAGAAACTAGGCTAAGCTAAGAAACTAAATGTTCACACTATAAAAATGAGAAAATTTACTGTGTAACTTCGTTTTTATATTTCATAAAATTTGAAAACAATATATTATGAGCCTTCTATTAAATTTTTAAGCTTTTATACCCAACAAATAAAATTTTATTGATACTTATAGAAAAAAAACTAAAAAAAATGGAAACTAAAAATGTCCGTAGAAAGCTCAAAATCACTCAAAATATTTAGAAAATTTTATCATGTATAGAAAATGGAAATATAAATAACCAGTGAAAATTTCATATATCTACGGTCATTTTTTTTAAAGTTACATAAAAACCAAAATCAATTTTCTCGAAAACAGATTTTGCGTAAAAATTCCCGTTTTTCCTTAATTTTTCTTTTGTTTTTCCCGACGCTTTTGAAAACTACTGGGAAATTTTTACTTTTGACCCCCAAAGTACCAACTAGATTCATTTTCCTATCAGAAAAGTTACTATTGAAGAAATCCAAGCACTTTTACTGTCCTAAAAGGTGATGACATATAAAAAAAAAACACACACATCATTGTAAAATACTAAAATCAATACATTCATCGTTCCACTCAGAATCTAAAAATAATTAATTTTTAATTTTGAAACTATAAGAACTTTTTTCGTATTTTTGATATCGAAAAATTAAAACAATGTTGCTCAGTCAATGTTCTTTTCTTTCTAGTAGGAACATTTAGGTTGCATAACTTGAGCTATAGAGTGAGTGGTTCTTATCCTAGC